CATTGAATGACCCTACGACTCGTACCAATCTCACTCGGCCTGTATGATGTCTACACGTTAAAGAGGCCGGCTTTCACATCTTATCCTTGTGTATTGGTTCCGTCATACTGGCTGCGCAACCGAATGACCCGATTAAAAGTTGTTGTACTACAAGTGTTGTGTGTTGCGATGGTGTGGATGGGTGGTAAAATGATGTTTTGTAGGTCTAATATTTTGATCTTTATTCGCATGCATACACACATACACAGGCCATTGGAATGTATTCGATGTCAGACTTTGGAGAGCTTTTTGCGTTCAAATCGCTTGCCATAGGGTCACCTCACTCGTCTCTTATTAGCAAAAGTTTATTACCACTCCTACGTATGCATTCTTCAAGCATGCATATACCAATATCACGCTTATATGAGCTTAACTATGAATTTCAGGCATTCAATCCTGTGTCAGGGGGGAGAGAGAGAATCCATAATAAAATTGCAATATTTGGTAGCTGGGGCTAGTAGGCCTTGTCATCACATGTACACGCAAAGTAATCAAACTATCCTGCCTCTCTGACTCAGATGATTCTTTGCTACACCGCACTCTCATCATTCTATTCTGGGATGAGTGACGCAGTTGATGTGAAAGATCAATTTTCAACCTCTTTAACTAGGCGCTTAAACAGCAGAGAGAACGTATATAATATAATATATAAATCATAGGAGATAAACCTTTTCAGGAAGTGGAGCAAAAGGCGAAAAAATGATGAAAATATGGAATTAGTTAGAAATGTTAAGTTATGGAAAAGGTAAAAAGTGGAAAATTAGTTAAAGGATAATGGAAACAGAAAATTGCAAAGGTCCGTAGAGATGTAAATAACAAGTTTGTTGGGTAAATAGGTAAGTGGGCAAGCCTGAGGGTTGGCAGATGGGTAATGTATACGCGCACGGTAGGAGTAAGTTGGTTAAGAAGTAAGAAATAAGTGTGTTCAAATGTTATTAAGTAGGCAGGCAAAGAGGCAGTTAAGTATGCTTTGGGAGAGTGATATTTAAGCTATTGTCGCAATTCATCACTAGTTTACCCCCTTCACTTCCAAGGGAAAATGCAGGATTTTGGCCAAATTAATGAGAATTCTTATTTAAGTTTGTTAAAATGTGGATTCTAAATATTCTCATGGGATTTGTATTTCAGTTTCCGTTCACTATCCTGTGAAAGTCTGAGTGTTGAGTTAACTTTCTTGTCGTGCGAATGTCTGCGAAGAAAAGATTCATAAATTGATCTCACCAGAAGTCGGCAAATTTCCCTTTGTATGCTATAGCCTCAGTCGACTGTGACGTTTGGACTGACACATTCTTTAGGATACTTTCGTTCGGTACCGCTGAAAGCGTGTTGGGCTTCTTTCTATCATTTCGAATGGTAGAGATCAGCAGAGGTGGACTTTAAACATGTAACAACCCTATGGTGACATCGGTTTCAGAAAATTAGTAGGCCCGTCCATTAGTTTCTGTTCGTGTATATGTACTTGCGTGTTTATGAATGCATATGTGCACATGCACACATGGAAACACTAGTAATAGAGTGGAGCGTAAGACTTGTCTCAGCTAATAAAGATTTGGTGAATTTTTCTTTTTTCAACTCAAGAAAACACTTTATTATGCAGTAATAATCCCGAACAACCGTCTTGGTGGGCTGATTTGCTTTCATATGAACCTATATTAAACCTTAGATCATTTGAGCCGATTGGTCGGGTTTGAATTGTTCTGGATTTTCTATACTTGGATGACTCCTTAGGTCATCAACTTGCAACCCCAGTGCATGAGAAATTAGCTTCTGCTTAGCATGTGATAAGCATCTGCAGAACGAGAATCTATGAGCAGACACCACGAGAACATTAATCAGGAGAAATTAATAGGTTTTGCGAAAAATTCATAGTTGTAGGCTAATTTCAGTAGGCTTGCATCGTTATTCCACTTCATCTATGACAAGTAGCTCATAGTACCCTTTTATGAATATTGAAGATTGATTTGGTCACCGTTTGTATGATATTTCGTGATTGCGCTTCTAATAGGATCTAAGAGGGTCTTTTGGTTGATAGAGACTATATTGATATCATACCAAGTGGATAAAATTCTTATTTGGCCCCATGTATTTTTATATGATGCAGCTGATAATATAACTCCTATTGTCCATCTGCTCGACTTCTCTCTACCTGAAGACCCAAAGATCTCTCAAAATATCACGGGTTCTCTATCTTCCAATACATAGTCAGGCAAGTCCCACCAGTAAGAAACCTAAATGAGATCACCTTTACGCTCTTTTTATAGAAACAGACGATGCACCAAAATACTTCTTATCTAACCACCTTCATTTGCTCATCTTCCGAGCCCCTAGTGGTGAAATAGCATAGTCATTAGACATTCTGGATTTTAGGCGTGCTGGTATGTTTACAGATTGTAAATTCGTCTGGTGAGCAACATGGGATAATGAGTTCCGATGGTAAGTCAGGCCTTCTCGTCATTTTATCCTGGCTAGAATAATCATGTGAAAAGGGTGGATAGTGCGACGACAGCAAAATGCACAATAATTGTGAATCCCTCTACAGCTTCATTTTGCTAGATTAGCCCCACTTTTTCGCTTTTGCCTGATGCAACAATTCGTCAAGCTTGGCTATGCAGATATGCATAATACTTTTCCTTTTTCTATCCATTCACACGATTCATACTGTTATGCTAATTATTTCTCTAGCATGGGTGGGCACTTGTTTTCGGTCTTCTGGGCCACTTTGACGAACTGCAACGCATTTCCTGAGTGTTTTTTAATTAGAACCGCTTAACCCTCTGACGAATTGGGCAAGAAGACGATGTCTTCTGTACAAGTCTGTCGCTAGTGCGAATAGTTTGCTTCGACGCCAGATCAGCTGAAATAAGGTTAAACAGCATGGCATTAATAAGATGCCGGGGTCAATTCAGGCTAGGGACGATGTGACGGACAAAAGTTAACAATCGGACCACCCTCTTGCCTGTACCATCCATTTTCCGGTCAAGAAACCCGTGTGCAGGCCCCTAGCCACAGTGCCCCCAAAATTTGCATTTACCAGGCTCCACAAAGTCTTTCACAAGTTTGAGTATGGCCTCGACGCCAGTGCTACACTTATGGTCATGTTAACATACATGTAGACGCAATGAATGTGAATTATGCAGACCAGGCTCAGAAGTGGCCATGTTGTGCACCAACCTTTACTGTCCCAATCTCAGCCCGCCCCACTCACACCCAATTACCCTACATGTAAGCATGTCAAGGGGTAAATGACAACAATGTGATTGGCGCCATTTGACCCAGCAGCTGGCATGTATGTCACCGTGACAATGTGCATTTAGAGTGAACGCCTAAAAATGTGAATTAACTCTTTTTGCTTTGCGAACTCGCGGAAGTTGAGACTATGCTCCTTGATTCTGACGTTAGCCTAACTGAAGAGGCAAAGATCGCCAGTCTGAGGCTGGCGAACGAGTGTGTCACGCATGGCGAGTCTTTGAATTCGGGGCTTAAAAGTAAAATATATAAATAAATGCATGTATGAATTATATGATAGATAAGGAAATTTGATTGCATGACATATTCAGGTTGTGAGCCAGATGATTTCGACATGATGTTAAGTCTTAACTCTGGCGGGAGGTTTCTTGCCGACTTAAATTTCGTCGAGTTTTATTTAAGTAGCGGATCTCTTTTCATAGTTTGGTATTAATCTAAACACGCCTCACTTTCACACATTGCTATTCTGAGGTATTTTCCAATTAGAAAAATCTACAAATGCCAAATTTTCGAAATGAAGGGAGACAAATATTTTAAGACTACGATGATACCAAATAAGTGATCTCATGGCTTTCGACCTCCGACCCCGACCATTTGTGATGAGCATGTAACCGACATCGTCAGAGCAAGACACTATGCTCACCGATAATTCACCAAAAACACAAAGGCAAGAAAGGTGGCCGGCTTCAAACCTACTTCCTTCTAATCTTCCGGTTTGGTCCATTTATGCATCTCATGTTTTGGTCGGATGTCCTATGCTTCGCCTTCACATTTGCTCATGAGTTAAGTTAAGTGGCTACAGATGAAGTGTGAAATGGGTGTAATTGGAACCGACCAGCTGCATCCTTCCTTACAACACGTATGCCTTTGATCCTACAATGTTACCGCATGTGATTGCGTCCCATGAAAGATACTCCAACATCAATCTATCAAGGTACCCTTCGAAACCCAGTTTTCCTACATACCCACAAATTTAGTCTTTTTTTTCTTTCATAAATGGGTTCTAGAGACTACCCTTTAGATCATATATATGAGGTATATTCATCCTCTTTCGTTTAGAATGATAAGGGGTCCGGTAATTGAATTTTCCCACAATTAGATGAGTAGATCTTACGTTTTTATTGAATTTCACATAGTCTTGCTGCCCAAAATGCATTCTTATCCAGGCTGGAGTGGACTGATAATAATCTAGAAACACTATTTCTTTGATTTTTCGTTTATAAGTCAGGTTTTTTATGCTTGTCCTTATTTTTATCAAGTCATACGAGACTGGCTAATCTGGTATGTATTGATGAACTTCAACTCGGTTTGAAGGTGCTTTATTTACGATTGTTTTTCTTATTTATGCAAGACTATTTCAATTCTCCAGTGCGTATTCGCAGTGGGATAATCTGTTTAAGGGGTACCGAGTTGAGACATTGGCGCACCTCACTCTACGCTCAGGTTAATGGGGTTGCCTCCAACTGTGGCATCTTTGAGCCACTGGAAGCCATGATGGTCGAGAGTAGGAAGTTTTTTGGAGACGGTCGGAGGAACGTCGCCGAACTAGGTCTGATTGTGTAAATGTTGAAGCGGGTCTTGAGTCGGCTCCAGGCAAACTGGAAGCGCCGATGTTCTCATCTTTTGTGGAAAGCCCAGAGGAAGGCATTAATGAAGCCGCCTCACCTCAGGGTTCAGGCTCAGAGCATTCCAGAAGTGTTGATTTCTCGAGACTGCTACTCCATTCAGAATTGAATGCCACAAAGCCAACCTGAGCGTCTTATTTTAAAGCCCTTACAATTTTTCCCAAATTCCAACTGGTAGGATTAAGCTTAACTCTACTAGTTTGCCGATTTCTAGGCAATTTTATTTCCACAATACTCTAGTCGAAAGCGCTAGCTATGCTGTGATTTGTGATCGGTGTGGATCTGTACTGTCAGCCCCTCGTTTCTTGTGACTGCCACAAAGCTCCGCATACTTTTGAGTGGAATGGCAGAAGACGGAGATACGTGGGG